CTGGCAGCTCAAAAGCAAACAACAACACTTCACCATCAAATGGAAGATCCTTGCCAAGGCGAAGCCCTACCCGAATCTGACAAAACGATGCAACCTATGCACGATGGAGAAGCACTTCATCATTACCAAACTGGAACTGGCAACACTAAACAAACAAAACGAGCTGATTTCCACATGCTGGCACCAACGAAAGTTCATTCTAGATATGGTTGACTAACCACATTTCGTTTTCCCAGCGCGTGCATGCTGGCACTTGAAACATTGACATGTTCAAGCTCACACATAAATTTCAAAATTTAAGAAGAATTTTCGAACATGCAGTGATTGATTGTAACGGTCTATTATGATGTATTGTGACAGCCTGTTGTAACAGTTTATTGCATCTTGCGCGAGCATATTGTTGATGTGTTGGCTTCAGTGTATATGGAAACTAACTGATGGGTGGGCTAGGTTTATGCAAGCCTACGAAACAGACCTGTATTAAACTCCATATGTACTCAAGATCTGAGTAGTCTATCAACGTAATTTGTTATAACAGCTCCTTCATTATAGAGTACTATATTGGCTCCAGCAGTGATCAGCACCTGAACGATATCTTTATTTATTTATTTAAAATCAACATTTATTCAGGGGCATCCATTGTTGATCTTTACTGTCATCAACCCTTGAACTTGTCATTTTGAGTAGAAGCAAGCCAGAATTTTTCTTCCAGACAGTCTGACTGGCAACACCAACAAAGACCAGTTAAATCAATAATCAGTTTTTTGGTGGCCAGGTGATGCCACGAAATGGCATTTGATCTGTGGCTGTATTGATTCAGACATCTCTCTCAGTTAGCAACCAGGATATGCAAATGCAAAAACACATTGAAGAAACTTGTTTATTGTGATTAGCTATTAATGTAGTTAGCTCGAAAATATTAGCATCTGGGTGCTACTCTGTAAATTCGAGACTAAAGCAAAGTTTATGTATGTATGTATGTATCACCACGAGTGGAAGCATGAAAAAAATGAGTCCTTTATATATTAGCAAAAACGTCGACTGGGTTTGACTTAAAATCTGCAGAAGATGGCTATTTGTATCTGTAATATGAACTATTTTTGTTTTTGTTTCAAAAGCAGCTCAATGACTATGACAAACTCTACCTGTTGATGTTCAAATGGAGGATCATCAGGTTGTTCAACCCCTTGTGTTATGCTGCCGGTGTGAAAAGTGTCACAGATCTAGAGCAACAACTTTTGACAAACATGGACCATGTGAAGAAAAAGCTGCCAAGCTGGGCACAATCTCCATCATTTGATGAAGATTTGAAAAGCATTCAAAATATGATCGCAGATTCAAAGACTGTGAAATATGAGGACTTGCCAGAACT